ACAATTTGAAAGTTATTTAATGAGGTCATTCAAAGAGTCATCGTTAATTTCAAATAACTTTCACGAATTATAGTATAAGTTAATTTTCAAAAAATCAAAAAAATTANTATTGTTCTGTCAAAACACATACAAACAAACACACATCGACAGACACACAAACAGAGGCGGACGGAGCCAAGATTCTATGGTGGGGAGCCAAATAATGTCACAATTTGAAAGTTATTTAATGAGGTCATTCAAAAAGTCATCGTTAATTTCAAATTTTTTAGTTATATAGAACTTATCAAAATCAACCTCCTAAAAAGTAGTTTGAATATTAAATTCAAATATTGATTTTTACTTTCAATAGTTAAATTTAATTTGTGATAATTTTGCAACCCTCTATTCTCTCATTCGTTGCATGATGTAATAACTACAAATAATTACTATCAGAACTTTTTATCACATGATAGAAGTTAATAATAAGTCAGTATATAATTGAAGATGCAATTAGGGATAGATCAGAATTTTATCCCGAGGGAGGCCCGAATAACGGCATAGTCAAAAAAAATTATTCAATAGAGTCATTTGATGAGCAATAGTTATTGTCAAATTTTTTGTTTTATAGAATCTATAAAAATAACTTTCACGAATTATAGTATAAGTTAATTTTCAAAAAATCAAAAAAATTAATTGAACTTTGTCAAATCAATTGCATGCAAGACGATTTTAGATTCATTGATAAAAAAAAAATGTCAGTTTAATTTCATAATATAAAAACTTGATACAACTAAATTTTACTAAGCCGATACAATGCTTGAAAATCTAAATAAAATGAGATATAGTGTGTGCATATCTCTTAATTAAATACATATAGGACATACAACATTGGACACTAAATACCTTTCGAAAAAAACATTGGGCACCATTTATCCTCTTAAATTATTATCCTGATTGGATCTTATCCCTACGATTATTAAATTGAAGTCGTTGTACCATTAATAATTCAAATTGCTAAATTTTTACACAAATTGTTAAATTTTAATTTTGCTCAAATTTTATAGTTTACGAGACTGTTTTCGATACTTAGTGGTACAATATGTTTAAATGAATAGTTGAGGGGTAAAGCAAAATCAAGATTGCCATTTATGGATATAAAATATAATTTTGATAAATTGAGGTGTCGCCATGTGAAATAGAACATTGTTTTTGGATTGAATTATAATTTTAAAATTGAAAGAGCCAATTAGAGGTATAAAGTATAATTCTAGAAAGTTGAGGCGGACTATGGCCCTAGGCCAAAGCTTCACACATGAATGTGAATTNTGAGGCGGACTATGGCCCTAGGCCAAAGCTTCACACATGAATGTGAATTTATCTGAATTGAGCAAAATCAACATCATAATAATAATTATACAATCAAAATTCGAACGCAACATTTAACTTGATGTTCATGTAGAATTCGATCTTGCATTTGGATTTTAAATGTGTAAAAGTAAAACCAATGATATTATTTTAATAATATCACGTCATTTAGTCCCGTTTTTCATTCCTTTGTTGGCGGTGTATCATTAGTCATTTCTGGGGGACCATGTAATGCATTTATTCATGTTTTGGACAGAATGTCGTTACTCGTTTCTAGGGGACCATGTAATGCATTGTTGCTGGTGTGGACCCAAGTTGCTGTGCTCGTTTGGTGGTTTGTCCACCGTGTACACTCACAAGCTAAGGAATCTTATCTAAGGGTGTTAAATATGTTGAATAAAATGGTTATATATCGAGTTAAACGGATGGCGGGTGAAAAATATATAAATTGGTACACGATTAAACGGGTAATACGACACGACTCGTTTAACCAGTTTAATTTTAAAAAAAATATATTAACAAATTTTAATACTCTATTTTTTTTATTGTCAATTACATTTACTTCAAAAAAGAGGAATATTTAACCAAATCTCATAAAAACAAGATTTGAAGGCTTAAAAAAAAAAACAAGAGGTCATTATTTTTTATAATCAACTCAACCTTTTCCATCTCCCCTCATTTCCCCATGTCAGAAAAAAATAAAAGACATTTGTTTGTCTTTGTCTTTAAAGTGTTCTTCATCTCATCTCTTTTATCTTTGAACTATTTCTTTATTTCTTTTTTTTAATTGATTTATTTGCTTCTTTTTTTCTTTCTAATTTTTTTAAATGATTATTATATTAATTTTATTTAAACGGATAAACGTGTGATAAACAGTTTGACAGGTCTCACCCGAACACGACCTGTTTGTTAAACGTGTTTGGCGTGTCAACCCATTTATCACCCAAACCTGTTAAGATCTCACTCAAACTCGACTAATTCATATCGGTTAATCGTGTTGTGTTAAATTTTGATAGCTCTAATCTTATCATATTAATTATTTTTTTATTTTTTTTGACATGTAATTGAAAGCTGATTCCAATCAATAATTTTTCTGCGGTCGTAGATATAACTTGATTAAGAGATTATGCAATTATTTGTGCCAGAATTAATCGTAAATTTTGAGTCGTGGCAGAGTTATTGAGAAAAAAATGAAGGGATAAAAGGGAGTAATATATAGGGCCAGTGTTACTTGCACTTAAAAAGTATATTAAAAAATTAAACTTGATAATTAGAAATATTGATACTTATTCAATAGTTGAAATTATCAAGTCATATTTTTAAATCTAATTTTTAAATCCATTTAACATTACTCAATATCAATATATAATGTTTAAAGCAGCTTAATTACCAACGAAGTCTATGATGAGAAGGCCATCAGACCAGCGACCGGTGGCCCAGCCAGGAAAGCTTTCGCCGTAGGGCAGATGGGCGGCAGCTACTGTTTTGCCGGTGGTGGCGCTTTGGCGAATAAGGTTCCCTGTATCCGCCAATGAATCTCCAAACTGGTATATATATTCAAAGGGTTGTATGGTTTCATGGGCTTCACATGGAAGGAGGAGGAGAGAGAAAAGTATGAGTCCAATGCAGAAAATTGCCGAAGCCATGTTTTGCAGTGCAAGTTCCTGCCAGTGAAGGCAAGAAATTCGGAGAGAGAGAGAGAGAGAGCCGAAGATAATTATTTGAAAAATAATTCAAATAATTCTCAGGCTTATAAAGTGAAGCAGACTAACAGTATCACCTAACACAGTCTGCCAAAGTGGACACATGGCGAAGATACTGAAAGCAACTTTTTTAACTGTGTGGCAAATGGACCTATAGATCCGGTTAATAAATAAAAAGTGGAAAAAAATGAAATATAGATTAAAAAACAAATAAAGTACATAAATATGTGCAATCAACGAAGAAAACAGTGAATAACTAACTCTACCAAAAAATAAAAGGATTTTTAATTAATATATAACAAATTCTAATAATATAATTTAAATAACTAAAATTTTCCATTGTAATACTCTATGGAAATGTAGCGTCTCACAAACCTATTTGAAAATGTACAGGACACCTTTTTTTGGAATTAAACAATACTATAAATAGCTTGCTTACCTAGACGCCTAAACCTCCTTAGAGACNCACCTAACACAGTCTGCCAAAGTGGACACATGGCGAAGATACTGAAAGCAACTTTTTTAACTGTGTGGCAAATGTAGATTAAAAAACAAATAAAGTAGCGTCTCACAAGGACACCTTTTTTTGGAATTAAACAATACTATAAATAGCTTGCCTACCTAGACGCCTAAACCTCCTTAGAGACTAATTGCTTATATATCTAATCTAGGTGACTAGGACACTCGTTTCTTAGATATTTAGTCAAGATAAAAAAGAAAAAAAGATAGAATAATTGAATAAAAAAAAAAAAATAGAGGACAAGTGAAGCGAGGCTTCCATAAAAAAAAAAGAAGTGAGAGGGAGGAGGTGTTGGGGCCACCGTTGTGAACAGTAAGGGACGAAAATAGCATCGACTCTTTTATAGAATAGGGTNATAATTGAATAAAAAAAAAAAATAGAGGACAAGTGAAGCGAGGCTTCCATAAAAAAAAAAAGAAGTGAGAAGGAGGAGGTGTTGGGGCCACCGTTGTGAACAGTAAGGGACGAAAATAGCATCGACTCTTTTATAGAATAGGGTTAGTGAATTGCCAGCGTGCAAGACACTCTAGTTAGTTAGAGCTAATCTTTGAGGCATAGTGAAATTTTCTTAATAAGAGAAATAGCAACATTTTTTAGTCTGATATGAATGCATTTGGATAAAAAGTTGTAAAATATTAAAAACACTAAATTGTACAATATTATAAAGAGTAGTACTATGTATCCCAAATCAAGAAGGATTATTGGATCAATAGGTTTCATCAATTTTTTTAAATAGGACCCACTGANACTAAATTGTACAATATTATAAAGAGTAGTACTATGTATCCCAAATCAAGAAGGATCATTGGATCAATAGGTCTCATCAATTTTTTTAAATAGAACCCACTAANAAAAACACTAAATTGTACAATATTATAAAGAGTAGTACTATGTATCCCAAATCAAGAAGGATTATTGGATCAATAGGTTTCATCAATTTTTTTAAATAGGACCCACTGATCCGATGGTCCTCCTTGATTTGAGTTACAAATTTGAAATACATATCATTACTTTATTATAAATACGACCTTTGTGTGTTGTGATTTCTTTTAATGAATATAAAACTCGAGTATCGAGAATATTGTGAGTGTAAATATAGGTAAAAACACTTGAAATGTAGATGCAAACTAATTATTTATACATCAAACAGGCCGAACCCACAATTTATGTCCTTCCCTAGCCTTAAGATCATCATCAGTCATGTTAATGAGAGTGGTCATATTAACTTGTAAAGACAACAATAGGTGATTAAGGCTCAAGGTTTGAACCTCTTTTATAGATGGCAAATATAAAATTAGGCCAAGTACACATAAACACAAAGCAAAGAAAATTATCTAATCATTCAACTTGCACCAATTATGAACACTGCAAATTATATCATTGGTCCCCACCATTAATTTTTAAAAACTTGAAAGACACAACCCAAGATGTTATCAGGAAAAACCCCGCGGGCGGGGGGGAAGAGATTTCTGCATTTTGCTGAGTCTTCTTCTCAGAATAACACTTTTCCTAAAAGATTTACTACCTTCAAATATTGGCTTTGGCTTTGGCGGATCAATGTTCACTCGCTGCAACTTCGCCATGCAAGAGAGCTTTTCCATATAGATCCCAAAAAAGATCCACTTACACTTTGAGTTGATAGCTGAATGCTTTCATTTCAAATGGTATAGTTTTCAAGAGGAGATTCACTGGTTTTTTAAGTCACGTTTACTTTGGTTTTTTTTTTTTTTTTTTTTTTCTTGTTTGGGTTTCGCGTTTCTTCCAAGTTGAATGGCATGGGTAATAGGATACATGCACATATATTTATTCTGTATGATGAAATTTGAACATGTTCCTATTTGTATTTTCTTTTTTGCCAAAAAAATAACTAACACTACAAAATGAAAAAACCAACCAAACCATGTCAATCTTCAGTTTATTTATGTCAAGTGACACCTTGTACAACTATTTAACAGGCTAGTGTAATTGTGAGGGGAGAGAGGGGGGAGGAAAGTGTGGAAAGGTGAGGGGATTGGAGTAAATATTCAATGCAACCGTGACACCACGTCATCACTATAACATGTTATTACCATCAAATTAGAAGACTATAAATAGGTAAAGTGAACCCCATTATTTTTATAATTACCAGTGACAACCACATCCAATCAGCAATACATAAGATTAGTGAACGATGATATCACATAGCGGTGATAACATAGTGACACCATTGCAATGAATATTTTCCTGTGGGGATTGAGTAAGAAGATAAAAAAGTTTTAAAAAATATGAGTAAACTATTAAGACTTATTTTATCAACCTAAATTATTGATTTAATTCATTATGATTTTTAGATTGACGTAGTTCCTACTAAATATTAGAATTTAGTGTTCATACAATGATCAAAATAAAAAAAAAATCATTAAATTAATTTTTTAAGTCCGAATAACATTACCCAAAAAATAGTAAAACTTTGTCCTTTTCTTTGAGCTGCAATCCATGATGTATAAGGGTCATTCAAGGCCAATTGTGAGGGAGGAGATACAAGGGCCCTATAATTCAAAAGAATATGTGAGTGGTTCATATACAGTATCTCTTTCTTTTATCAATGATTCAATCAATTGGAGTATTTTCACAAATAATTGAAATTTAATTTTTTGATCCGTATCTTCAATTTTTGAAAACTTATAAAGTTCTTCCGTCAAACCTTGATCAATGAACTTACAAAATCCTTCAAATTGTATCTAATTAAACTCCGGTATTGTAGATATTCCCTCATTTTCATCCCGGAGCATTTTTAATTTCCCATTTATCGAAAAATCCCATTATTGGAATTTATATTCTGTTCACTAAATCATGTAAAATCTTACCCAATTCCATATATGGAATTGAAGTATGAAATTCGTATCAACGAAGGAATAGGTTGGTCTTGATGTTATTTTCCTGAAGAAGAACATGAATATTTCTTAAATTGAACCTTAAAAGGAAAAAAAAAATTAAAAATGGCACAATCTCTGAAGAGAGAAATTAAAAGAAACCTAGGGTCTGTGTTGGTTTGCATTTCAAAAACACAATATCTGAAAACTATTTTTCAATAAAAATTTTTAAATTACAAAACTTGTTTGGTTATATATTTTTGAAAATAGTTTTAAAGAAAAAAAATTTTAAAATTTATTTGGACAATAATCCACAATTACCACATCTCTTCAACTCTTTGTGTCTCTCTCTCTCTCACTATGCATCACCCAACCCCCACAAACCGAAAACCACTATCAACCACCATCAACCCAACACCGACAACCACCACCAAGACCACCACCCAAACCGAGAAACACCCAACACCCACAACCACCACCAACCCACACCGAGAACCACCCAATACCAACTACCACCACCACTACCCAAACCGAGAACCTCCCAACACCCACAACTACCACCAACCCACACCGAGAATTACCCACCACCAAAACCACCATCCAAACCGAGAATCACCCAACACCCACAACCACCATCAACCCACACCGAGAACCACCCAATACCCACAACCACCACCACCACCCAACACCCACAACCACAACCACAACCAAAGGATTTGTGATTCCAATCGTCGGATATGTGCTTCTAGTCACTGAATATATGGGTTGAAGACAAATCCATGGTATCGGNACAACCACAACCAAAGGATTTGTGATTCCAATCGTCGGATATGTGCTTCTAGTCACCGAATATATGGGTTGAAGACAAATCCATGGTATCGGCACAAGAGAGAGAGAGAGAGGGGTCAGGGAAAAAGAATGCACAAAAAAAAAAAACTTTTATATTGGTATAATAAGTGTACAGTAAATAGGGTCTTGCGTTTTCCGTGTTTTCACAATTTTCAAATAAAACTCAAAAACAAGTCTGACTTGTTTTCTATTTTTGTGTTTTAAATCTCAAATTTTGCAAAAAATTTGAGAACAAAACTATTTTGCAGATGATAACCAAACATAACCCTACTNGAATGCACAAAAAAAAAAAACTTTTATATTGGTATAATAAGTGTACAGTAAATAGGATCTTGCGTTTTCCGTGCTTTCACAATTTTCAAATAAAACTCAAAAACAAGTCTGACTTGTTTTTTATTTTTGTGTTTCAAATCTCAAATTTTGCAAAAATTTTGAGAACAAAAACTATTTTGCAGATGATAACCAAACATAACCCTACTTTTTTTTTTGGTCAAGCATGTAAGGAACTCACACATACAACACACCACACATCAAAGGAAACCTACTTTAGCAGTGACCGATTACTAATAGGGGTAAGTATTCAAATTTTCTCGCTTAATATTCATAATTGAGTTTTTATAACTATGATAACTTAATGAGAATTAATCCATTTTCATTTCCCAGAGCACTCAATGGCACTTTAGTTTTGGTGTTGAGAGACAATTTTTTGGAATAAATACGTTGAGTGATTTATCTGTACCGAACATTAAAATTACAAATGCAAGCTTACTTTTTCTGTGTGGTCAATATATGTTGAGAGCACTGATGGCGTGTGTGGTCTATCAATTTGAATCACTACTGGCCACAGATAGACAGATTGGTCCCTAAAAGGCCAGATTCCAAATAATCTCAATGAATCACCAAGAGAATAAAGTGTTTGCATTCTTGTGGATGATATATAATTTATATTAATACTGATATACTAGTAATCGTTCGTGGTTGAAAGTGTTATGTAATAAATAAAAAAAATTATGATCAATATAAACCCACCTAACACAAAAAGTCATCAATTAAAAATCTGAAAAAAAAAAAAACATGAAACAATATGAGTCTCACTCATATGTTTTGACAATTTTCTCTGAAAATATGATTCATGAACAATAANCACAAAAAGTCATCAATTAAAAATCTGAAAAAAAAAAAAAAAAACATGAAACAATATGAGTCTCACTCATATGTTTAAAAAATTTTGACAATTTTCTCTGAAAATATGATTCATGAACAATAACATTCTTTGTACACAAAACTTAATTTAGCAAACCTTTAGTTAACGAAACACCACTCAAATCGATTACATACTGCCTTAGGACAGTGAATAAGTTTCTAGTTCTATGTGACAATCAAAACTTGAAAACAATTTTGATACTTTATATTCAAAATTAAATATTGAACTTAATTCGGATGACATACAAATACGAATATGCACTCCTATAAATTCTTGCTTCATATATCTATCTATACATAAAAAATAAAAAATAAAAACACAAATAAACTAGAAGACAAAAGACTTGAGAACTCTTCCCTCCATNTAGGACAGTGAATAAGTTTCTAGTTCTATGTGACAATCAAAACTTGAAAACAATTTTGATACTTTATATTCAAAATTAAATATTGAACTTAATTCGGATGACATACAAATACGAATATGCACTCCTATAAATTCTTGCTTCATATATCTATCTATACATAAAAAAAAAACACAAATAAACTAGAAGACAAAAGACTTGAGAACTCTTCCCTCCATATTTCTTAATTTTGTAGAATTTTGACATTGATCTCCCACTAAACTTGTTTGTTGTTTTGCATTGCCATTTCCTTTTCCAGCAACCATGTCCATATGCTTGTTTGGCTACTAATTGCAAGGATCTCAGATGTCCTGTTGTTTATCTATCTTGCTTACTACTAAGAGGGTTTAAATGTTGTATCTATTTTTTTTTTTTTTTGTAGAGCCACAAGGGAGCAGAGAAGTTCAAGGACAAATCTTTCCCTTTTTATGAAGATTTATGTATAATATTTGAAAAGGATCGGTTACTAGAATAGAGGCACATACCCCGACTGATGTGTTGAAGGAATTAAGAATTAGACAAATCTTTCTACTTTTTCAATTTGTTGTCTATTATTGATTTTTATTACTCTTTCAATGAATTTTTTTATTATTTGATTCTTTGTGACTATTTACTGCACATTTCATCATATTTTTCAAATTTTAAAATTAACAGAAATACTCATTGTAATAGAGTATGTTAATTAAGTTAGAAATTCTACAATAAAAAAGTTATTTTGGTTAACTTTCATTTCATTCCAATAAAAATTAATTTATCCAAACATTGGAATGTAATGTACATTTCATTCCAACACTCAATCCCAATTAATTGACAAACATTGGAATAGTAATACACATTTCATTCCATTCCTAAAATTATTTCATTCTTATATCTATTCTATTCCTATTTAATGACATTACTACGTACTAAATTCAGCGTTAGTTCTTTAAATTTTTCATAGAGTTTAAGTTTTTCATATTCAAATGATTGCTTTCTAGTTAGCACATTTAATGATAGGATATTTACCAATCAATTTGACATTATTTACAATGAGAACTTAAAAATTATAAAATATAAAATTTGTAAATTATAATAAAATTATAAATATAATATTTTAGATCTCCCTTAGTAGCACCTATTAAAAAAAAAATTGAAATAAAGATCAAATCCTTAATATACTAAGTTTTACGAGGTTATTTTGTGATCTAATGAAGTACTCCACGTCTTTTGGGAGCCATCTAGCATAATGGGAGTGCTTAGCGAAACACACCCCAATCTTAGCATGGGACGCCATTGGACAAGTCACCG